CACGTTATGGTGTAGTTATTTTTATTTTGTGTTGCATTTATTTTATTAATTCTATGTATTGTACATGTATTTATACATGTTTGCTGTGTATGTTACCACCTAATTTTGGTCACATTTTACTTTTCATGTACGTGTTTTATTACCATTATTATTTGGATACTTATCAAGTTATATGTTTTTCTTGTATGTCGTTTTATGTTGTCTTTAATTCTATTAATTTATTAGTTTATTTGTGTTATTTGGGTTATATTATTTATTAGTTAACATAGTTATTTCTTTTACATTTCATCAATAGTTTCATAGTTTATTTTAGAATGTGAAATGAGTGTTATAAGTTTATACAGCTTAGTTGCAGGTTTTTGCACATTGTCGGCCTTTTGTTGTGTTTATACTTGTTCTTTTTCTCTTTTTGTTGGATTGTGTATATTTTACTTGAATAGTGTATTTTATTATCTATTCATTAATTATTTTCATTACTGTATTTATCAATTTTTAATATACAAAAGTCTTTGCATTACTATTTTAGTTAACTGTTCATGTCCATATTTGATTATTGTTTTGAATATTATTATATGACAGTTCATATGTTGTATTATGTTTATTCTTTATGTATATTGGGTTTATAGTTTTTGTATCATATTTGGTTATTCTAACATGTATAATGATATAATGGATAATGGTATATTTTGATATTGTGATCGTTGTGTAAATGTTATGAATACATAATTACATGCTTGTTGCATATATATTTTTATGTCTTTTATCTACGTCCATTATTGATATGTTTTTACTTCCTACTGTCAACTATTAAATGTATTATTTTGGTTTACAAATTACTATATGATATCGTGCGTATCTTATTTTAATTTCGAGGGCGAATTTTATTTTAAGGGGGGTAGAATGTAAGGACCATGAATTTTCGATACCAGTTAAAATAATTTTTTGGTATTTTAAAATAGTTAATTATTATTTTTAAAAGTGTATTTTCATTTTTCTTGATTTTCTAGATTTTCTATGATTTAAAGCCTAAGTTTTATATTTATTTAAATGATATTAATATTTATAAATTAATTTTATGCGGTGAAAATTTATAGAATTAATCTGTTGTATTATCGACGCTATTACGTATCATTTTGAATAATACGATGTATTATTATTATATTTTTGTATTATTTTCTACAATATGAAGTATTATTAATTATGTATTATTGGTATAAATTGTTGTATTGTTTTAATTATCGTGTATCAGCTGTCGTATTAGCACAACTAGTACGTTTTGATTTGTATATAATTATCCCATAATTATTGGATTTTAAATGTAAGTAATTATATTTTATTTATTAATTATTCTTCGTTTAATTGTACAATATGGGTATTTTTCGACTATTTCATATCAATTGTTGTAATAGCACAACATGTGCGTTTTTATTTGTAGATAATTATTTTGTAATTAGTTTAATTTTTAAGTATCCGTAATTATTTTATTTTTATTTTAACCCTAACCCTAACCCTAATATTATATATATATATATAATAAAATACCCGTAACCAAACCCTACCCAAACATCTTTCAAACCCAGCCGCCACCCAACCTTTCTCTCTCCTCCTCTCTCATCTCTCTCTCTCTCTCAGTTTTCGTCCGCAAGAGGAAAGCTACTAGCCCGCGCGGCAGTCATGAACGTGGTCAAACCGCGCTTTGGTATCACCAGTTACACCTCTTCGAACCCCAGCCAAGCCATGCGGCGCAAACGCCCTTCGGGCCATGCGCGTCGCGTACTATTATCGATGACGCGCTGAGGTCGTCGCGAATGCCATGTGCTCCTCACAAACGCCCGGCCGTCGCCACCTCACGCAGCACCCACGCTCAACTGCCGAGGCGCGCCCAAGCCCCGCCACCGGCCTCCAGCACCCCTGTAGCCACCACCAGCCAGGATGCACCAGCGGCTCTCCGCCACACGTCCCCTCGGCGCTCGCTCTCCTCCCCTGCTTCGCTGGTCCAACCCTTCGCCTGGGCTCCTGCAGCGCCAGCCCCTCCTCATCCACGAGACAGCGAACCTTTGACTCCTACATGCAGGCCCGACATCTTGTCGAACCGCCCAACTCCGGCGACCGTAGATCTGAGCTCCGACCATGACACTGCCTTCACCCCGCTCGAGCCGCCGACGTCGCACCAAATCCACCTCCAGCAGATCCGTCATGACTCGACCGTTCAGATCCGTCGTACCGCACCGCATCGGCGTCGTCGCATCGTCGACAGGCCCCATTGGCCTCACAGGCAAGATCCCGATATTCTTTGTCTCGTTGTTTTAAATTTTAGAATTATTATGAATTAATTATATGCTTCAATGTGACTGTGATTTAATTATATTACCATAGGAATATTGTGATAACTACGTGGGTCTGTTGATGATCATATTGACAATGATGTTATGATAAGTAATTTAAAGAAATAAGTATTTTGTGTAAAAGTGGTTATTTGAGATGTTTTTAAAAGAAAGAATATATTTAAAGATTATTTTTAGAATTATTATGATGAGAAAATGATTTGTTGGAAAAAAGGGGTTGGTTTTGAATAATTATTAAAATAGATAATTTAAAATAATTTATTTTGGAAAACGGGTTATTTGAATTATTAAACTATTTTAAGAAAAGATTATTTAGAATAATTATTATGAATTAAAAGAATTTATTTCGGTAGAGGAATCATTTCTGGATAATTATATTAATTAAAAAGAATTTATTTGAGAACGGAATCATTTGAGGAAAATTATGATAATTTTAAAAGGAATTATTTTGAAAAAGGGAATATTTCTGAATTATGTAGACTCTGTTTATGATATATAATTCTTAATCTTGATTACCTGATTTGCCATGATATTATTGTACATGATCAGTTATTTTTGTTATTATTTGATGTGATTGAGAACCATTAATAGTTCGTGACTTAGTGGCCTCGTGCGTCATGAACAGACTTAGTGACATGTGTGGGTGTGTTGACTGATTTTAGGTGGTGAACCCGAGTTTCAATGAGGATTATGGTTGACTTAGAAAAACGAGAAGAGTTGGGATGGGGAAGTCCATGTTCATGTGATCGGATAAGACTGTTGATGTATCTTCCAGGCCTCCCCATGATCCAGTGTAGCATGGGGTTGGTTTGTTGGGTCAAAGTGGAGCCGGTGTAGCCACTTTGGTCTGTGAGCTTGATATTCACCTGATTCTTGCTTGAGTTCGAACCAGGCCGTAATCAGATTGCGTGTAGCCCTTTGACCGATCCAGTGTAGCGGCGTATTGGGTGCACGTAAAGGATTTGTGAACAGTCAGTTATCCGGTAATATGAGCGTTGACTCTGTGTGAGATGTGAACCAGTGACCTGTTATAGGATGGCTACTTGTATGACCTCGTTTCTTGGCTAGGTATGATTTTCTTGTGAGATGTAGGCCAGTTGTGTTTCTTTTCATACATAGATCGGAGTTAATATTTAATTATCTACAATTTGAGACATATGATATATACATGAGGGTTTCCTTGTTTGGATTATTTCGCTCGACGTACTACGTCTCATGTTGTAGATTTTTAGGTATTAATTCCATCTAGTGTATGATCATGTTACTTGGATGATTTCTGATCGCTAGCTACATGATCTCGTTACCCGATTGATTTACGGAATCTTATGATTATCATGTTTTGGTAGTGGATTGCATGTTGATTTTGTTGGATTCTCAGTTGTACGTCCTTTTGTCATTTCTATTATTGTATCGATTTCCGCTTTGGTTTTCGTTTGTTCTATTTTCTTTTGTGGGGTCTTGCCGTGCGTCATGCACCTGACGTACACCTGTTTTCTCTGGTGTACATCAGATTTAGAGGAAGAACAGGTTCAGCTGGGAGATCATCAGGAGCCAGAGGATTCTCAACATGAGTACCATGTAGACGGAGCAGAAGAAGGAGTCGAAGCCTATTCTTTGATGGTTCCAGTTTATTTTTATAGTTCTTTCTTTTTCTATTGATCGATGTAATTTTGTATCTCTTCAGTATTCTTTTGTTCAGTTTTGTATAAGGGCATGTTTGACCCGTATCATTATGTCTCGGATGTTATCCCATTTGTGATATGATATTTTTTATTCTGAGTTTGTCTATTATATTCTTACTTATTGTGATCGGGGACCTGTGACTTCGCATTATACTTATTTTCAGACGCTTAGCGTATTAGGTTGAGGAGAAACATTTATTTTTATTTATTCTCCTTGATCAGACGCTTAGCGTATTAGGTTGAGGAGAAACATTTATTTTTATTTATTCTCCTTGATCTAATATGTCGCGGGCTTGTTCACGTTCCGGTTCCCGTGTATTTTGGGAAGCGGGGCGTGACACCATGCCTCTGATCACTTCTCATTTAATACTGAGAGGATCTCTCCTCCACTCGTCGACCGGCATGTGTAAAGTAGGTGTTGACGCAGCCGCCAGCTCATGCCTACTTACCGTCATCCTGTGCTTGGTCGAAGTGACGGTTCTACCCTTTTAGCACCACTACAAGTAAGAGGTACCGTTCTCAACATAGGAGGGATCTTTTTTCCGATCTAATATGATCTTTTTCTAAGGATTTATCTGCAGATTATACTGCACTACACTAAAGAACTCAAATAGTTCTTCATTTTTTCACTCAAGTTCACTAGCTGACTTGATCGTCGGAGGTACAACGGGGGAACCATGTCCCGTCCTCTCACGAGTTTCTATTTGTGCAAGTTGAAGCTACTAAACTCAAAACCATATATTCGGAGAAGTGAGCAGCCCCTAATCAATCTCACCCTCACATATTTGATTGTTTGGTTACTTAACATCAACAATGCTAAAACTTCATAATATGATAAGAATTGAGGGTTATAATTTTATTCTCTAACAATATCAAAACTATGAAATTATAATGAAGAATAATGACAAAAAACTTTACTGAAAAAGGAAAAACTAAAAATAATAATAAAAGGAAATATGATACTCAACAATACCTAGCAAGGAGAGCTTTGCTATCTTGTCCATCATAAATGCAACTTCTTCTTCCCTCACCAAACGATAAGATTGGATTCTTGTAGGACTCAAGAGATGAAGAACACTAAGTTTCCTCACATTCCTCCAATAATCTCCATACCTTGCAAAAGCTACATCTTTGCATCCATAGAGAAGCTTGTTAGGCACAATCAAAGATGGCCGGTCAGAGAAAATATGGTCTTGGGCTTTCATTATTTCCTTTGCTACGTCTGCGGATGAAACAACTAGAGCTTGGACCCCGCCCAACTTGAGGAGCATTATAGGGCCGTGTTTCTTTGAGAGGGCCAACAGAGAGAGATGAGGAAGAGAGCCCAATTGGTGGAGGTTTCCAATGATGGGGAGCTTGAATGGTGATGGTGGGTGGTCCTTCCTTGATGGTTTGTTTTGGATTAGGAGGAGGAGAAGTGGTAATAAGAGAAGAGCAACAAGGAACAGAGAAGTTGAGATTTCTAAGGACATCTTTGTTGTTGATGATGGAGTATGAGAAGCTCAAGTTATTTATTCAACGATGCTAGGTGACTCGGAGTGGGTCCCACCCATCTTTTAGCCCGACATCATTTTCCTTATTTATTAATAGCTGGTTTATACATGTGCTAAACAATTATATGGGGGGGAAGGGTAGGGCTGTCCATCCGGGAAGGATATACTTGTTGATCAATGACTATACATATTATATTCAAGGTAGAATATCTATTTTTCGATACTTAGAATCCAAAAAAATTACTGTTCGTACTACAATAAACATTACAATAAATATTGTAGCATAAACAGTAAATCAAGTCTGGCCCTCTGCACTCGGAGTTACTGTTTATGCTAAAGTAATTTAATGTACTTCTGCTCTTATATACTTAAAGTTACTATTTATACTACAGTAATTTATTGTATCATAAAGAGTAAAGCAAATCAAATATATTAAAACTTTGATCATTCTTTAAGTATAGAGAAGTAGATATGATTTCTAAATTAAATGTATTAAAACTTGGATCTTTTTTTAAGTATAGAGGAGTAGATATGATTTTTAATTTTAAGCCTACAATAATTAAATTAAATGTATTAAAACTTAGAGGGAGGTAAGTCCAAAATACAGTGCTAAAAAAATAGAGGGCCGTGATTTGCAAGGGGTGCACACTAGTGTACAGAAAGAGAGAGAAAAATTTAAGAGAGCCCCAAGGTTTGTAGAAGTAACAGAAAAATATAAAATGACAGTTCCGTCAAATCTAACAATTAGAGACAAAATGATCATTTTAACTCTTTACTATGTTTCCCACCACATTTCTTAATGGGTTTAAATCCAATATATATTCGCCTCAAAAATTCAAAATCACTTAAGTTTTTCTTCTCCAATTGTAAGAAAAAAACCCCAACCCACAGTTGAGCTTCACAAATGTTTGAAAAATTAGAGAAAGAGGTAGTATGGTGCTTGCATGTGTTGGGTTAACATAGTTAGATTTCGTATCTTAAATACGAACAGAGAGACCATTTTGCATGTGTTGGGTTAACATAGTCTAGCTCACAATAAGATTTGAGCTCATCATCTCATAATATCATTACTATATATATATATATATATATATATATATATATATATACCCAAAAGGCAAAAACGAACATTTTAGATATCGGTGGCACAAAATTTTACATATTTTCCGTAGATGCTGCCTCCAGTTACGGAAAAAACTACTGAACCATTCCAATTTTGTGATTTATCGAATCTTATATGTGCCCTCTTTTATTGGTTGACTTTCTTATCTTTTACTCCTCGTGGGATGTTGTTTAAATTCAATTAATTTTTAATACCCAACCATGACCTGCGTGTTGTGATAAGCCTCATTCAATCATTTAATGGTTAATCAAGAACTAATCTTCTCGCTGATAGTGATTAAACCATTGTTTATCCTACTTTTGGTCTAAGGATAATTATAACTGAACTGCATATTTCAAACTACTTAGACACTATTATATACAAAAGTGCGGGGTGTTTCTATTTGGATTGCAATTAAAATTGATAAGTTATTAAGGACCCCATAATTTTTGAGTGTAGTGTGAGAGTAGTTTCAAGTGAATAGTCTAGTTATCACTCTTCTTTGCCTATTTACTATTTATAAGATCTTTTATTTTATGTCGGAGACATACAATGACCACAATATATTTTATCTTTAGTCTACTTTCATGTAATGTGAGTAGTTAAGAGAGAGTTGGTAAAAAATTTAACCATATAAGAGAATAAAATTAGTCAATGATCGGCAAAGCTTAATGTGTGAAAGTACGATAGTTATAACAATTTTAAGCGTTAGCAAGCTATACAATCTATGTTAGCCAATAGTAAGTTATGGTCTCTGCGTTGAATTGGCAGAATGGGTATTGGGTCAGATCCATTGAGACCCAGGCTTAACCCTTTGTTTGGTTAGGAATGGTTTGAGGTATTTTTTGTAGAGGAATGTTTCGCTCATTTCCGAGAAATATAGAAAACCCATTGGCATGCCAAAAAACCTTTTCCATAGATCTTTATAGATATATTGGAAAAATATTTTTGGGTTGTTTCATTCTGAAGTCACGAGTGGAGACATATTACTTGAATCTGGTAGTTTGGATGGAAAATCAAAAATATGAACCTTTTAAGAAAAGGAGAGAGAATGATTGTTTAGACCAACTTTCAATGTCTTAATATTTTAACAATAAAAAGTAGCTTTTCTAAGTTTAAGCTTATTTTCACACAAATCTTTTCTAGATTTAAAATGGTTTCCAAAAAAAAAGTGACATTTGCTAATGTTTCAGGAAATCTTTTCCCCAAAAAGTTGATAAACTAAAGAAATTACTAGGAAACCATTTTGATCAAAAATTTTCCGTAGTGGATGTGTCAGGAGATCTTTCTGCTTTTTTTAAGGTTCGTGAGCGAATCAAACAAAGCCCCATAGCATTTCTATTAGTCATCAACCTCATCTCTATTTATAAACTTCGGCTGCTGGTTGCATGATTTGCATCTTATTAATATAAGTGGTAAATATGTATATTAGATCTTTAATTATGTTGGGTAGTTTGAATGGGGATGGAATGAGGTCTTGACTTGATGATGTTTCTTGGATTAGTAGGAGTGCTAGTAAGAAAAGTGGAAGAAGGAATAATGAAGTTTGGATTTTTAAAGACGTTGTTAATTAGTGAAGTTTGAAACAGTTACAATATATTGTGGTTCATGAACAGACGCCAGAGGAGGGGATAACTATACAATGAATCTGTACCAGGGTTTGCAATCTAGAGTATGGACAATGGCTTCAAACATGGGTCCTGCATGATTAATTGAAATTTATTATCCTTGGTAGTAAGCAAAGGAGCAATACTTTCTTTTGACCGTCTCTCCTTTTTATATCTTGATAGAAACTCAGTCACACTCTACATCATTTTGGTTCTACTTCAATGAGCTAGTTATAAAGGATGTTGGAATTATCTTGTGCGAGCATAGATTTAAATCCTCTCCGGTTATATGGTAATTCGAGAGTATCCAATTAATCTGATTGTTATCATTCATTCAAATAGTGGTAATCCTGTGTGACATAATCTTATCTTTTAAAATTAGAACTATGTATGGTAAGGTTGAGCTAATTGAACCTTCTCTAATTACCATTAGTTGAAGGGATCTCGTCCAGTGAGCATATATAGTCCCACATTTTAAGTTGGAGTGAATATTTATTATATCTTACATTTTTGAAATTCTAATTTGATCTCTATTAGGTCTTTTAACTCCCGATTAGCTCTAATTCCTCTCCTACATAGGAGGTTTTTCGTCTGATTTCAAATTAGTCATCGACGAATTAGTCCGAAAATAGCGTTCCACTCACAAAAGGTTGTCACAGTTTTTCTACTCTTTGAATTTTATTTTATTTGATATTTTTGACTATAGCCGTTGCTTGTTTGGGGATTTTGTAGCCTTGGATTTGAGTGCTCTCCATGAGTTGACGTGGGATTCGCAAAGGACCCAGAGGGTGAAGCCTCATGATTTCCTTAAATACGGCTCTTATGTAATTCATCTCAACCAATTCATCTTGTTTTAATATTGTCTTCGAGGTAGCTATAGCTTTGCTTCTCACCTCATTTTGTAATTTCTTCATTGCTTTTGGGTTTTTGATAAAATAATGTTAGAGGCACACCACCCACCACAACCCCAACCACACTCCCCCCTCTCATTGCTACAGCAAACCGGGTCCCACATTGTCCCCGCACTGAACATGTCCTGTATAGATCACATGGGGAGATGTGTAAAGTAAATAAACAATAAAGTCCATGTAGAATGGGGGCATGCCTAGAAAAGAAGGCTACATGTAGGCCTGTCCACCATGGGGGCATGCCTAGAAAAGAAGGCTACATGTAGGCCTGTCCACCCGGGCCGGCCCGGTCCCCGCACTGAACATGTCCTGTATAGATCACATGGGGAGATGTGTAAAGTAAATAAACAATAAAGTCCATGTAGAATGGGGGCATGCCTAGAAAAGAAGGCTACATGTAGGCCTGTCCACCCGGGAATCCGGGCCCGGGACGGGCAAAACCGGAGCCCGGACCCGGACCCGGGTACCCCGGGCCCGGGCCCGATCGGGCCAGGTTCCAGGCTGGCCCGGATTTTTTTCAAATTTTTTTATCAAAATTTTTAACTTTTATTTAAATTTTAAATTATACAAAAAAAGACAAGGAAAATTAATAAAAAACAATAATTTTATTAATCACTTAAAATGCCATAAATTACAAATAAAAAATGATAAAAACAAATTATTTATTAATAATTAATAAATCATTTACAAATTACAAGTACAAATTTATTTTAGAATTAATCGCATCACAATAGATAAGTACATCCCAACTAGGTTGGCACCTACTCACCTATATCACTATCATTTGCAGCTATTTCTAAAATAATTCTTTACAAATTTTAAGCTAAGATATAAAAATTACAATTTATTCCTTATATCTATCTGCTAGTCCTAATTCTTCAAATTTATCTTCAATTCCAGCCATCCGATCGATGCTTTGCGTTCGCTTCTCGTACCTCCACCAATCTTGTAAGCACATCACCGCTTGTACAGTATACGGATCTAAGCATGTCCTGTGGTCGTCGATCAAACGTCCTGCTGTGCTGAAGGCGGATTCCGAAGCTACCGTCGAAACCTGCACTGTTAGTAAGTCATGAACCATGGTGGAAAGTATAGGATATGAAACTGATCCATATACTTTCCACCATTGCAAAATATCTAAAGCATTTCCTTGACATTTAACTAAAGAAGCAGATAAATATTCATCTATTTCAGAAACCTCCAATGATGACGATCCAAGTCCAGATCCACTAGTTAGCTCAGCTACCATTGCATACCTATCAAAACTTACACTTTTACCTCGGGATGAGCTCGAAGAAACCGAAGCTGTAGACTATTGTGTAGCAACACCATGTCTAGCTACATACTCATCTTATAAGGTTT